CTGGAAGGCAAGAGCACCAGTTGGCATGATAATAGGCAAGAACGACGAAACGAAGGGCTACAAGGTCTACTTACCGAAGGACAGAATTGTAATAACAACCCAGCACATTAAGAACGTCGAGACCTTGGACGCCAAGCAGAACGCGCAACTGCAGGAACAGCTCGAGATAGAAGATCCAGAATTGAAGAAGGCAGTTAAAGAGCGAGAGAAGGCGACGAAGCGGAAGGAGACAGCTGTAGAAGAAACACGCAACAGTGAAAAGACCGCAGAAGAAGAAAACAAGTCGCTGGATAGAGCAAAGAAGACAAAGAAGAAGAAGAAACAGGCTAAGAAGAACAGTAAGAGGCGAAACACAGATGCAGCTGAAAAGGAAGGAGCAGATGAAGAACACGTGCCAACTGAAGAAAGAGAGACCACACGCATGCACACGCGCAACATGGGCGCAAAACATGTTCCAGTAAACCGTGTGAACGTGGTGAAGCGCGAGGATCCGAAGAACTATAAGCAAGCAATGAAGGACCCGCGCGCAGACAAATGGAGGCAGGCCATCAAAGAAGAGCTCGACGCATTGGAACAGAATGGCACGTGGACGGTAGCGAAAAAGCCGCCAGGGACGAAGTGCTTGCGCACGAAGTGGGTCTTCAAGCTCAAGACTCATGCGGATGGTACCATTGAGCGGTACAAGGCTAGGCTGGTAGCGCGCGGAGACCAGCAGGAGTACGGTGTAGATTACACGTTCACGTTCTCAGCCGTACTAGAGTTAGTATCTGGGAGAGTGATACTAGTGGTATCGCGTATCTGGAAGGTGCCGGCACGCCACGGAGACGTACCGAGTGCGTACGTGAAGGCCAAGAAAGAGGCCGAGCTAATCATAATCCTGCTGATCCCACAAGGCATGGAGTTCACAAAGGAGCAGCTCGAAGCACTGGGCGTGACGAGTAAGGACGAGCTCGTGTTAATCTTGGAGAAGGGTCTCTACGGACTAAAGCAGTCTGGCCGATTGTGGAATCACTTGCTACACAGTATCTTAGTGTCGCTGGGGTTCCAGCAATGCTATACCGACAGTTGTTTATACATCAAGACCGAAACGGACGGTATGACACTTGTAGGGATCTACGTGGATGACATCTTAGTGACGGCAACAAGCGAGGACAGGGTTGACAAGTTCTTCGCAGAGATGCAGATCGTAGAGCTTAAGGACTTGGGTGTGGTGTCCAAGTTCCTGGGAATTGCATTTCAATACGACGATGAAAAAGGGTGGGCACTGGACCAGGAGCAAGTAATCCAGGACCTACTGGTGAAGTTCGAGCTGGATAACGCGGCAGCAGTACGTACGCCGATCGACGGTGGATACGACGGCGAGGAGACCAGTGTAATACTGCCGAGTAAGGGTGCAGGAAGTCCAAGGCGACCAACAGTGCAGACTTTCCAGTCGTTGGTGGGCAGTTTGTTGTGGCTCTCAAGATGTACGAGGCCTGACATCTCTTTTGCAGTGCACTGTGTGACGAGAAACGCACATGTGGTGTAGTGATTTCTCCGTGGTTGCGGATTATCACCCGTCGACAAAGACGTGACACCGCCCAAGCGACGAACCCTCGGTCGAGTGATGTACGGGGACGCCAAGGTGCAAGGAACTCGACGGCGTCACCTCCGAGTTTTCAACAAATATCGGATACGGCCCTATGTCACAGAATCCAGGCTGTCCCTTATTATTAATAATGGACTGGCCGGATTCGCATTCAGCGGACCATCTACGGTACGAACTCTCAGTGGCCGGTTGGGAAGGAGTTCCGCGGATACTCAGCGACCTTTGGAACACACGTTAACCCGTCTGGGAAAGG